TGCCCAGATGCACCCTCTCCAAAAATGAGACTGAGGGGCACCTGGGAGGCTCAGTCATTAAGCGTCTGCCTTTGGCTCAGGTCTTGATCCTAGGATCCTGGGATCCAGCCCCACATCAAGCTCCCTGCTCAGTGGGAGGCCTGCTTCTCCCTCCCCACCCCCCCCCTTGTGTTCCCCCTAGTCTCTGTCAAATAAATAAATTATGCCCAGATGCACCCTCTCCAAAAATGAGACTGAGGGGCACCTGGGAGGCTCAGTCATTAAGCGTCTGCCTTTGGCTCAGGTCTTGATCCTAGGATCCTGGGATCCAGCCCCACATCAAGCTCCCTGCTCAGTGGGAGGCCTGCTTCTCCCTCCCCACCCCCCCTCTTGTGTTCCCTCTAGTCTCTGTCAAATAAATAAATTAAATCTTTTAAAAAAAAAATGAGACTGAATCTCTTGCTGTGTAGCTAAGCTCTGACATTCACTGGGTTTGACTGGCAATGCGATCCATAGGGAAAATCACGGTAGTGACACCAGGGGCTAACCTGAGTGAGTGCTTACAGTGGGTGAGGCTCTGCTTCAAGTGCTTTGTGTGCATTCACAGGCTCAGTCCTCTCCCCGACCCCCACCACCCCCGGCCAGGCCCAATCCACATCCCCTGCAAACACACAACCAGTCAGTCAAGAGGCTGGGCCTCAGACCCAAGGCTCCGCAAAGCCCGACAAGGTCCCTCTCTGTGCTCTGGCTTTAAAAGCAGGCTCTGCTTCCCACAAGCTTCCAGGCTTGTTGGGAGAAAAGGAACTGCTAAATGCAGAGCCTGCAGAAGTGAGGCAGACTGTGTGGATGCCAGTCCTGGTGAGGGATGTGTGCGGAAGCGTTGTAAGTAGACTGACGGAAAGTCCGCTCAGGTACAGAACGAGGCTTCCGTGGAGATTCAGAAATTACAGGGTTGGTGTCAGGGAGGGCGGGTGTGACCAATAACACGGGGCCACAACGTTCAAAAGACCAAAAATAAAACCGAGGGAAACTTCTCCTAGGACATAAATCTGCCCTAGACAGGTGAGGCGGAGGAAAAGAAAGGGCACATCCATTTTCAGGCCTGCACAGGTGCCTCTGACTCAAAGTCAATAATTGTTCAAGGACAAGGGCAATGATGAATGATCAGGAGATGACCTGTATGCCCAGACAATATGGGTGGTGCTGAGCACAATAGAGAACGATGCCAATGTCACAGAGAAAGGAGATAGGCCCCCATCTCAGGAACGAGGGAGGGGAGCTCCAAACTGGTGCCTATGCCCTACTTTCCACCCCTCACTCCTAGATATCAGTAAATACGGAGAGGGGGGACAGGAGGAAGAGTGGACCCTGAGCTCAAATGTGAAGGCTGAAGCAGAAGAGCTTAGGCTTCTATGTTCTGGGTCCTGGAAGGGACCAGATATACTTCCAAAGGGATGCCTGTCTGCCCTTTGCTCTCTGACCTTGGTATATACTTAGAGAAAAAGCATAATGCTAGACTCAGTAAAAACTCTCTCCATATTCCAGAGTCTCCTCACCCAGGTAGGACTGAACAAGCCCATACTGGGGACACCCTTGAACTACACACTGGACCTAGGAAGCAGAGGATTTGCAGCTCAGCCTCCCAGATCTGTGTCCATGGGGTTGCACCCAGAGCCATCCATTTAACACAAATAGCAAACAGGAAGTGAAAAGCAATGTAAATCTACACTGAAGTCTTTTGAAAACCCTGAACGGGAAGTCCGTTTGTGCTTCTCAACAAAGTTCCTCAAAATCTCCTCCTCTAATATACCCATGGTGGCTGTGCCCAACATCTCCTGGCACCCCTTCTTTCAACCTTCCCCCAGTATCATGGAATCCAGCCCTGAAATTTCTCATCTTTCCTCCCCTCCTGGTTAATTTTGTCTTTCCTATAACTAACTGCCTTTCCCAATGTCCTCCAAGCTGGTACCTCACCCTGGCCAGTTCCCTACCACTCCCAACTTACTGATATCAGTAATTAAGGCCCAGAAACCAAGGATCCAACAGGTTCTCCTCTGGGGTAGAGGGAGAATGCCAGAGATATGAAAGGCATTCATATGAGCTAGGGGTTTTCTTTTCTTTTTTTCTTCCCACGATTAACCTCCCCCCTTCTTATTTTATGAGTAGAAATTATTTGTTTTAATTCTAGCCCAATCCTTACGGTAACTTAGACTTGAAGCAAAGTGAATTCTGCCTGCTACACAGTAGCTCAGTAATTCCCCAGATCTCAGAATCTTCTGGAGAGCTCGTTAAAAGCACAGAGTCTCAGGCCTCTCTCCAGACCTGCTGAGTCAGAATGTGGGGGACGGACTTGAGAAATCAGTGTTTTTAACAAGCTCACCCGGTAATTCTGGTAACGTCTATGTTTGAGAATCCATTCTTACCTAATTAATAAAGGTCTGAATTGGCTTCCTTTGTATGTAAGGCTCATGTCCATAAAATAGATCCTTAAGAGACCACGCAGCTGATCTCTGGGATGTGGGGTGTGGACAGAAGCCACAGAAAATGTGGGGATCCGGGGAGTACGGACACCAGCAGGGTTGGAACCCACATATTTCATACATTCTGCCCACATCTTTATGGCTTCTTGGAAATTGTTAGTGGCAATCCAATAGATTAGCAGTAAGCAAACTTAACATTTTGTTTATTGCCATAACTCAAAAAACGCTATTGGTTCTAACTAAATGTCTGTTTTTATGTTCTGTCATTTCCAGGCACGAAGGCGACTTGAACAAATCCCAAGGCATAAGGAAATGGGCCTCATTCTCTAGGACTCTGCGGCATTGGAGATGAAGCTAAGCAGACTTCATTACATCCTACAATTCCGCAGCCTTTTGCGAAGCATTTTATCACACCTGTGGGAGCCGTCGGGGTTACGCTTCAGTCACGATGACTGACAGGCTGACTTCAAAATAACAGCATCGACAGCCCTTCCACACTTCCTGGGCTATGTACTTAGAATAGAACCTTTTCTAAATTGTCCCTTGGCCTGGATGGAAATAAAACAGTGGTTAAAATATTTATCTTGGGTGTTGGGTAACTTAAAAATTGATAGTTGGGGGCCTCCGAAAGGCACAACTGAGGAAGTAAATCTTTTAGAACTACCGTGCTTCCTGTAACCAAAGGTTTGCTAAAGCGGAGAGAAAATTTAGTTTCCATTTTTGGTAGCAAACGGAACAAGAAATGCATAGCTTTTCCTCGGCTGTATTCTCCTGCCTCGGGTGCAGAGAAGCAGAGCTGAAAGAGCTTAAGATGGCAAAAATGGGCTTCAAGAAACTAAAAAAACATGTAATGAGGTGATCAGACACCTCGGACTGGGCCATTTGAGCGGTAGGAATGTAGCGAAAGGGAATGGAGAAGCTCTTGATGTTGGTTGAGGAAGCATGCCCCTTGCCCGGAATAGTCAAAAAAATTTTTTTTCTGGAATAGTCAATTTCTATAAGGAAGGATGACAGAAGTAGGCTCTTTCTCTTCTCTGGTATATTAATAAAAGGGGAGAGTTGAGTTTAGAGAGAAAAATAAAACATATCAATGGCACTGTGATAAAGAACCACAAAAACCCTAAGAATCTCTGTTGCCTTATGGGCTACTCCCTGACCTCAACACCATCATCAACGTAAGGCATTTTAGTTTCCTGTGAGTGCTGCAACAAATTACTGCAAACTGGGTGGTGCAAAATGAGAGAAATGTGTCCTCTCACAGTTTTGGAGGTCAGAAGTCCAAAGTCCAGGGAGGCCCTGCTCCCTCCAGAGGTTCTGGAGGAATCTCTCCTCGCTGCTTGTGCTTGTCAAGAAAACCTTGGATTTTCTTGACAAAATCCCACTCTCTGCCTCTGTCTTCACCTTCCCCCTCTTCTGTGTGTCTCCTCTGTGTATCTCTTCACTGGATTAAGGGCCCACCCAAATAATCCAGAATGATGTTCTCATGATCTTAATGTCCTTTACTTAATTACATCTACAAAGGCCCTTTTCCAAATTAGAAAACATTTAGAGGTTCCCGGGATTTGACTTGGATATATCTTGTGGGAGGAGGGCACCATCCAACCCACTCCCTAGGACATTTGATGTTTGACAGTTTCTGATCTAGTATAAGCCAATAAACTGAGTATGACAATCACATCTTCTTTCAAATCTTCTTCTATGTCTTTGCCAAAGTCCTATTGATTGACAATAGTTTGGCAAATGCCTTCTTGAGACCCCAAAGCCTCTCATTCCCAAGCCTCGTCTGTGATGCTTCTTTCTTAGCTAAAAGGAAAAAGCACTGCAATATGAGTAGGATGTGTTCAGAAGATAAAACACCAGTGAGGGAAGATGGCAAGTACTGGTGATTTCCCCCAGCTCAAGGGTGGCTGATTTGTGGTCCAACGAAGAGCCCTAAAAGTACTGATTTTTCTTATCCCCAGAAGGTCAGACACCAATTCCATCTCCATTTTAATAGCAGATGTCACCAGAAGACCCAGCCGCTGCCATTGGGGCTAATTCCACATGTTACTCAATGGCTTTCAAAGAAGTGAAGGAACAGTCTCTGATGAAACAATTGTGTGATACTACAAACCTACCAGCAGCTGTGGTTTCCATTTTGTCTGTCCAATTGAAATCCTAGAGGAGCCTCATTTCCATCCTTCCTCCCATGCGTTTCCTCAGCTTAACATCTTCCTGTAACTCTGCCACGGTTTGGAGACTATGGAGGTTGTGGAAGCTGGGGGTACAGAAGGCTAGGCCTGAAGCTCTACTTCCATGCCAGCTCTGTGAACCCAGGCCCGATGGGAGGCCTGATAACCCAATAAGTACTGTTTATAGTGCCTTTTAAGAGATGTTTCTAGAACTAACAAAGCCTACTGATACTAATATGGGAAAAATAACTATTACTCCATTTGCTAAAGTGGGTCTGGTCTGTATAGAGAAAAATCAGAAGAAAAGACAGTATCCCTGGAAGAATTCTTCTTTTTCTCTCTCATTTCTTCTTGGACACAATACCCACTAGGCGGTTTCAGTTTTGCCCAAGAGCTGGGCAGTTCCTAATGTTACCATAAACAATGGATAACTATGTGTATACAGGCATCCATTCCATCATGCTTATCAGACAAGAGCACAGCAGCCAGTCTCTGTATTGACAACATTCTGAAGGAAGATGTCCCCTATATATCTGTATGTGCTCACTTTTCAAACTCCAGGCCCACTCCTTATCTTTATTGTTCCATCTATAATCAAATTCCAAATGGCAAAAGAGAAGGACACTCTATGTTTGGCAAAGAACTGGAAAGGAGCTTTCCCCATGATTATCTCCACCACAGCTGACCCAAAGTTATACAATACTTCTCAAACCCCATCAATTCCTTCAGATGGTATGAAGGAGCTGTGTGTCTCATGAAACAGAAACCTCTCCCATCCATCCCTCTCTGTATCTAAGCTTGAGACTAAGTCTCGGGATGTACCTACTTCTTTCAGTAGCTACAACTATGGAGTATAACTGCACAACAGGCTGGTAAAAGAAGGAAATGAAATTTTGTTGTGTTTTTATTGTAGATACATTTGCAAATATTATTTTGTTTAATCCATACAAGATCCCTAAAAATAAATATATGGAGATTTAGGCTCAGAAAAGTTAGGGAACTTGATCAAGTTTACAAAGTTGATAATGGATGGATTGGGGATCAACTCAGGTCTTATTCCCAAAAGCCTGTCCCTTTTGGAGAATAATCAATAATGAAGGGCTCTCAGCAAATTTAATAAATATCATTTCCAATTTCTCTCCTGAACTATCAAGTTGGTAGGTTAGTCCTTTGTACTGATGTTCAAAGGGAAAGGGAAAGGGATAGTTAAGGGAAGGCAGGGAATATTTAGGCATTCTCAAGGTGAGAGCATCCCTTTAATCATGTAAATGAAAGCAACTCATGACATTTCTATAACTTAAAAACATACAGGAAGAGTATTACCAAGAATGCTTACTCTGACTCTGATGCAAATGTGTTAACCAAAAGGTTAATGATCACTTATCCTGGATATAGAACAATGTAAAATAATTAACATGTAATTACTTAGTTACAGGGATTGAAAACCCATCAGTTCCACTTGGAATAACCACCACTAAAAACTCTCAAACATGGTCACATATCTGTAGTCCATTTCAGTCCTGCAAACATCTTGACCATCTATACCGTACATCAAATTGAAGGCTATAGTTTTAGCAGCCAAAACTGAGATGGCTCCTGAGGTGTAGCTGGGAAGGGGAGTAACCATGGATTGCAGAGGGAAGAGGAATGGGAAGAGCAGATCTAGTTTCAGCAAGAAGACAGGTCCAATTCTAGGTACCTAGAAGATGGTTTTCTGAATTCCATCATCATTTTCTTCTTCTCCACCGCCTCATCATGGGATACTATTTGCAGGGTATCTCTGTACCAGGCATTATGCCAGGCATTTTCAAAGCACTATTTCATATAAGCCTCAAAAACAACAACAACAAAAAGCCTTAACCCAGGGGCGCCTGGGTGGCTCAGTGGGTTAAGCCCCTGCCTTTGGCTCAGGTTGTGATCCCAGGGTCCTGGGATCGAGCCCCACATCGGGTTCTCTGCTCAGTGGGGAGCCTGCTTCCCTTCATCTCTCTCTGCCTGCTTCTCTGCCTACTTGTGATCTCTGTCAAATAAATAAATAAAATCTTAAAAAAAAAAAAAACCTTAACCCATTTTCCTTCTTTCCTCCCTTTCTTTTAAACAGATATTTATCTAACAACTACTATATGCCAAGCATTGTATATATTGGGTGCCCCGCTACAGTGCTGAGCAAAAACATCCAGAAATAACTATTATTCTCTTTCTGTAGATGAGGAACCAGCAGTTCAGAGTTTGTGAGTTGCTTAAGGTCAGCACTAGTAAGAACACGTATATGCGACCTAAAGCCTGGAGCTCTTTCCTCTAAGCCAAGCTGTTTCTCAGAATACAGTGTAAGAGGGAACAGCTGATGCACTGTGGCTAACTCCTGGTTTTCCCCACAAACAAAGGCAAAAAACAAAAAAACAAAACAAAACCCACACACACTTACATATTCCAGATTAAAATTATCTGGGGAAAAACAATATACTAAGGTTCAATCTTTGTCAAGGAGCATTTATTAAATACCTTCTGTGTGTCCATTCTGGGGAAGACTTCTAAGAGCAAGTGAAGCTTTCTTGTGCTCTTTATGTCACCCTGAAAATGTCCTACTGTTCTCTCATATTTCTGTAATAAAGCAGCACTTTGGTCACTCTCTGGGCATTCTGCCTAGTCAGCCTGGCCAGGGTGCCCAGCTCTCTATCTTGTGCCATTCCTAAGGAAGAATCTGAACTAATACTTTCAGATTCCCAATGAGCCCCAGGCTGCTGGTTCAATGTCATACTTTAGTAAGCAGTCTTCCCATCCAGGTCGCTCAGCTTTCCTTGCTAAAAAAGTAGGCCCACATAAATAAGTCCATGACTCTGAGAGACAGCCTAAAGCAAGAGTTCTTTATAAATATCACTGGCAGGGCTTGTTAAAACTTATTGTAAGGGGGCGCCTGGGTGGCTCAGTGGGTTAAAGCCTCTGCCTTCGGCTCGGGTCATGATCTCAGGGTCCTGGGATCAAGCCCCGCATTGGGCTCTCTGCTCCGCAGGGAGCCTGCTTCCTCCCCTCTCTCTCTGCCTGCCTCTATGCCTACTTGTGATCTCTCTCTCTCTCTCTCTCTGTCAAATAAATAAAATCTTAAAAAAAAAAAAAAAACAAAAAACAACTTATTGTAAGGCCCTACCTCCAGAGTTTCTGATTCTGTAGATCTGGAGTGGGCCCTGACATGTTCCCAGGTGATCCTGACACTGGGGTGTCAGGGTCCACACTTTGAAAACCACTGGCTTGAAGGGATGATTTTTTTTTTTTTTTTTTTTGTACTGTAAGTAAACAGAATTTGTTTCCAGTACAGAATCCAGCTTGCTTTCCAGGCCCTGAATTTAACATATCTTAGTCTAGAGGTAATGAACTGCAAGTTAAATCCAATCAGTCCACTCAAGCATCTC